TGAGCAGGTTTTTGAGCTCTGTAAAACTTTTCTACAGGCTGGCTGGTTCCCAAAGCAGAGAGAGGGAAGAAGAGGTTAACAAAAGTGCAAAAATTGGGCTGGTGTTGCAGCCACAATATCAAAGTAATAGACATTCTTGCAACTATTCCTGCCTGAGGGCGGCTATTGTATGGTCCCTCCTCAAGAAACTTATTTGAATCCCCTGGACCTTAACAACTTTAGACCAGTCTGAAACAAACCATTTCTTTGGCAGGTGATCAGAAGGGTGGTATCACTCTAGCTCCAGGTGATCCTGAGTAATACTGATTTCCGGACCCATTTCAAACTGGTTTCAGAGTGGGACATGGAGTTGAGCCTGCTTTTGGTCACTCTAGTGGATGATCTATGACTCAGAATTTACAGTGGAACTGTGTCCCTGTTGGTTCTGTTGGATCTCTGGGCAGTCTTCAGTACTATCAACCATAGTATGCTTCTGGATCATCAGGAAAAAATGGGAATTGCAGGCACTGCTCTTGGGTTGCTTCCAGATGGGGATGCTTGGAGACTGTTGCTCCTCTAAGAAGGAATTGGCTTCTGGGGTCCCACAGGGCTCCATTCTGTCTCCAGTGCTATTTAACATCTACATGAAGCTGCTGGGAGAGATCATGCAGAGGTGTGGTGCTAGTTGTTATCAGCATATTGTTATCATCTGCTGCTGCTTCTAGAAAGAGCTTCTCCTCTCTGAATGACTGTGTGAAGCTGGCAATGGGCTGGATGAGGAAAAACAAATTGAAGTTGAATCCAGAAAAAACAGAGTTGCTTGCTGTTAAGGGTCTGAATTCGGGATTACAGGAGTGCCAACAGGTTCCAGATGAAGTCACATGCCCCCTGAAAGAGCACATTAGCAGTTTGAGGTTACTGCTTGACCCACCTCTTCAGATGTCAGCTCAGACAGAAGCCATGGTCAAGAGTGCTTGCAATCAGCTTCGGCCAACTGTATCCCTTCCTGGAGGAGAATGATCTGAACACAGCAGTGCACATGTTGGTAACTTCTAGACTCGGTTCTGCAATGAGTTCTGCTTAGGGCTACCCTTGTGCCTACTCTGGAAACGGTAACTAGCACAAAATAAGGCAGCGGGCTAGTCTCTGGGACATCATGGATAGACCACATATCACCTATTTTGAAGTCCTTGCACAGGCTGACAGTACATCTCCCAGATACAGTACAAGGTGTTGGGAATTACCTATAAAGTCCTTTATGGCTTGGGTCCAAAATACCTTCAGGGGTGCCTTTACCCATATATTCCACCTTGCCAGCAAAGGTCCTCTGGGGATAATCTTCTGAAGTCTGCTTCTGTAAGATTAATGGCAACTACCCAGAGGACATTTTCAGTGATTGACCTTAAATTGTGGAATGGTCTGCTGGGAGAGATGCACCTGATATCCCAGACTGCCACCTTTAAGAAGGAGTTAAAGACATGGCCATTCCTGAATTAGTTCTCATATCAGTTTTATTTAATATGTTGCTTTTAGTCAATTTTAATCACAGTTGGATTTAAACCACCCAGAGCCTATGGGAATGCAGTGGTATATAAATATTAAAATAAACTAATTAATAAAGCCATAACCGAGTTATGCCATATTCTCTCCAATGAACATTCAAGGTATGCAATCCTATGCATGTTTTGTTGGTGTTACATGCCATCAATTCTTATGGTGTCCTTATGAATGAATACCTTCTGAAATCCTTCACAGTCCTTCACAGTCCTGCTCACCTCGACCCACCTCATATCTGGTTTTCCTTCTCCTCCTCTTCTTCTTCTTCCATCTTTGACTTTTCCTAGCCTGATTGTTTTCTCCAGTGAGTCTTGCCTTCTCATGATGTGCTTGAAGTTCAACAATGTTGCTTTTGTCAGGTTTGCTTCCATGGCAAGTTCCAGACTTATTTGATCAAGGATCCACTTGTTGGTCCTTCTGTTGATTCAGGGTATTCACAAAGCTCTCCTCCAGGAGCATGTTTTGCATGCATCCATTTTAAAAATCAGCTTTCTTCACTGCCCAGCTTTCACACCCATACATCATGAGCTGCAATACAATAGTATGGATGGTCTTGGCTGTGGTCTTCAGTGAAACATCCTTACATTTGATCATCTTTTGTAGTCCACTGTTGCCTACTTCTCAGTCTTCTTCTAATTTTCTGGTTGGATTCTCTATTTGAATTGATGATCGAATGAAGGTATGCAAACTTCTTTTGGAATTATAGGGCTTTTTTGTAGGACTGAACCCTTTATATAGGATTTGGTCGGCTTGTCTTCTTTGAGCATCTGTATGAGGATATCACACTGGCTTGTGCTATGCAGTCTCAAATGTCGCAGGAAATGGAAGAGAAAGAAGGATGCAAGCTTGAGGTAGCTCTAAATAGGAAATAATGTTGCACAAGGCCGACGACCAGATGGCAGGCTTCTTACACTCCAAATCCATTAAGCTGATACAGGGCTGCCAAACTGTGGCAGTGGACAAACTGTGGACAGTCCAGCCATCCACTGTATCAGAAAGGCAGGACATTATGCCTGCCTTCTTTTTCTGAGCCAGTTAAGTGTGCAAAGGAAATTCTCCTGCAATGCTGTTCCTAGCCAGAATACCCCCAATATTACATTTTGTGCAAATCTGTGCTAATGCGTCAGTGCCTGGTACTGAAATGCCATGAGATTGAGAGCAATGTCAGCTTGAAGTTATTTAGATTCCGATTTGCTTCTAAATTTGCCAAAGAGAAGCCTTTGCCCAGCTTAGACTGAAATGCCAATTGTGCCTATTTTCTGGGTAGATCACATCAAAGGCAGAGTTACATACCCCTTGTTACCTTGAGATTAAACTATTGTGACACACTCTACATGGGGCTGCTTTGGCAGTTTTGGAAACATCAGCTGGTTCAGAAAGTAATAGCAATGATACTTGTAGGAACACAGATGTGCCTGCACTTTAATTTATTTATTAATTAAAACCTTATTTATTTCAAACTTTTCTAGACCATCCCATTAACAAAGTCTCAGAACGGTTTAACAATACAAAATGTAAAAAAATTAAAACACAGCATCCTAAAATTGAACTAATAATAATATCACAATTAAAACAGTCAGGTATTAAAACACTGTGAAAATAAAAAGGGTTTGGCCTGGTGCCAAAATGAAGATAGTGACGGTCCCAGGAGAACCTCTCTGTGGAGCAAATTCCACAATTGGGGTGCCACCACAGAAAAGGACTTTCTCTGGGTAGTTACCCTCCTAATCTCCTTCAGGGAGGGTTCCCGGAGAGGGCTTCTGCCCCAGATCTTAAGCGGTGGGCAGGCACATATGGAAGGAGATGCTCCTTCAGGTAACCAGGCCCTAAGCCGTTCAGGGCTTTATAGGTCATCACCAGCACCTTTAATTGGACCCAGGCTTCAACTGGAAGCCAGTGTAGGTGGAAAAGGACTGGTGTTATACGTTCATACCTGCCTGTCCCTGTTAACAACCTGGCAGCTCTATCCTGAACCAACTGAAGTATGCAGACCGTCTTCAAGGGCAGCCCCATGTAGAGCGCATTACAGTAGTCCAATCAGGAAGTTATCAGGGCAAACATTGACAGGTTTACATGACACAACAACCTCTCATGAGTTACTACCCATGCAAACCCAGACCTATTTTCCCAGGATGGCTTGCACATAGGGGCTATTCTACCTACGAAGGTTTGCCATGTCATCTGCACCAGACGACTGACCCCATCCTGGGTAGGAGGAGTTGGCAAACAAGCCCCATAGCAGCAGCAGCAAAACAAAATGTTGCTGCTCTTGCCATGGGTCTACTGGACGGGCTGCTGTACCAATTGCTCCAAGGTGCCCAAGCAGCACTTGAGGACAACTAGCCCTGGCTTCTCCCCTTCCCTGCCTGCTGGCAGCCATCTCAGGCTTGCCACCGTGGGGGAGATTGTGAAAGTCAGTTGTCTCACCAGCTTTCACAATCCCCATTTGGACTGCCAGAAGAAGTCCCTTCAAAGTGCTCCAGCAGCCCTTTGGCAGGGCTGTCCGTGCACAGCACAAGCACAGGGTGGCTTAGCGTGGCATGCAAATGCAACCGCTGTTAAATTCAGTCTCTCAAGGCAGGGGATACCCCACCTAAGATTCATCATGCACATAAAAGAGCAGCAGATGAGGACACCACGACAAAATTCCTGTATTACTGATGATGCTGTGGTTGAGTGAGTTTAAAATGCAGCAGTGCATGTACCCAGAGTGTATTTTTAATCAAACTCGGCAGTTTTGCTGAGCTTGCTGTAACATGAAGAATGTAGAAGCAGTTGCAAATGGTAGTGGTGGAGGAAGAGAAAAGTTAGTTGTGTCCTTTGCAGAAATACATAACTCCATCTAAAGCCACACACACAGAGAAACACATTCAGACAGCCAATGTGGTTAGAATATTTGACTGAAGCTCAGGAGTTAATTCCACACTTGATAATAAAATTCACAGTCACTACCTCTTAGCTGAACCTACCTCAAAGGGTAGTTGTGAAGACAAAACAGAGAAGAAGAGGACTATATGAGCTGTTTTGGGTATCTTGCAAGAGGGGAAAAAGGCAAAATAAAACTCTAATAATAAAATTTAAGCCCAGAATCTAAAATTACATGGCTGTATCTCTGATAAGGCCTTTGTTATTCTTAAATCCTCAGAGGCCTTTAAATGATTATAATCTACAGAGTAAGGCAAAGAAAATCCATGATCTTAGCACTGCAGATTTCGCATTCCAGTTCCTAGTATTGCCTGTGGCTGTAGAGACAGACTCCTTGAAGAAGCCCAATAAGTTTAAGTGCCTTTGAATGAGCACTGTGGTATCCATGACTCGGCCAGAGGCAGAATTCATGGGCTCAGAATTTAACTAATGGCAGATTCACAGATTTCACCACCACATTTCCTAGGAATGTCCTTAACAGCCTCTTCAAGACTTAAACCCTAATCTGCACATGACATCCCAAATACCTGAAATTGTACCTGAAATTCTCAAATACATCCACAAGGTTAACCACAGAAGTCGGTTGGTGACTCTGCTTCGTCTCCATCAGGCTGAATCTACCTGCCAATCTGAAACTGGTCCTGCAGTTCTAATGTCTGGCATACAGGAGAATCTACACAGAGACTCTATTAATGTATAACAGCTCAGATATACTTGTCATATATCTGAGAAATTAAAAAAAAATCTTAGCTATTCTAATTACTGAGTAACTTGCAAACCATTACCGCCTTTGTAAATGTGGTTTGCTATAAATGGAAAAGTTATGAGGAAGTACTGAAGGCAGAACTCAGAAAGAAAGGGAGGACCCTTTACAAAGTTTTAAAAAGGAATGTAAAACACACACAATTTTTAAAATGAATATCTATTGCCCTTTATTTTGGGCTTCCTTTAAGGATGGAACCCTCACAATCTGACAAGCACAATAAAAACAAACTAAATGTTTAAAAAACACAACAGTGTATATCAATAACATTCTATAAAAACAGATTGTAAATAAAGCCAGCAACCCCAAATTTTATAAAAGGTGTATGAAAACTGGTAAATCACCCTAACCTAGGTGGTGGGCAAGTGAGAACCTCAGTTAATAAGTTCAGAGTGTGGGCAAGCTGGTGTTCTTATGTTTAGATCATGCCTGGTATGTAATATTTACTTCTGTAACGTCATCACATGGTACATGTAATGGCCGCCACTCCATATGGAAAAGGCATGTCCTTTTCTAGGGAAGAGATTATCTACATTTTTTTACTGAACCAACTAATTACATGTATGGAGCGAAACAGTTACAAGATTTTGCTGTGCTCCTCTTTAAAACCAGGAGCAGCGCTAGGTACAAAAGCCTATGCTATCCCATATGCTCTAAATGTGTGTGTGTTCAAAGAAGTATGTCTGCTCAAGATGCACCTAATTGGTTTTTTTAAAAGGATGTCTGCACCCGTGTTTGATTTCGGGGATGCTGGGAATTCAGGCAGAAGAATTCAAAGGATTCACTTTATGGGCAAAAAGTCAGCTAATCCAGGGGATCGATGAAACAGAGATCATCAGGGCCCCTGTACCTTTCTTTCAGCAAATGCCCACGGAAAACATAATGGTGGGTCAGTGGTTTCCCAAAAATTCGGAGCTCCAGACACAGCGAGCTGCCCCATCATCTCGAATAAGTTCTCCAAACAAACAAACAAACAAACAAACGAACAAACTTCAATCCGGATGTCTAGGCACTACTTGCCTAACTTCACAATACGTTGTACTTCGTGCAAATCAACACAAGGGGGAGCCATACTACTCCATTGTAAACTTTCGATAAGGCCATTCCCATCATAGATAATTCCGTTGTCTGCTGACATTTCAATCCCCTGCTTCCTTTTGACACCTCGCGTGTCTTTTTCTTCAAAGGGGCAAACGTAGGAGCTGCTCATAAAAGACCATGAAGGAATTCCTACCCTATCCGCACACCCACGTTTTAACTCAGTTCGGGGAGGGGAGGCACACGTGAATTCTTGTTCTGTGTGTACATCTTTGAAAAGATGCCCTGACAATAGTCCGGTACACAGAAGGGAGAAATTTCGAAAAAGTTCAGACGGAGGCTCGCTGAGAGAAAATGTAGCACACAAGAATCCTGCAATGGGTTATTTTCTCCACTTTGTAGGTGTGATGGGTCCAGGCTGAGAGATAGTGGCAATTAGGTGTTAATACCTGCAAACAGCGGATGGGAGCGATATACGGCTGAGTGAAGGAAGCAATTTCTGACACTGCTGTCATATTGTCTCCAAATCGTGCGGCTTAGCGAGGGTATCCCCATCTCTCTGCATTATGATCTTCTACAATGGGCGTGAAGCTTGGAGATAACGACTTACAAGGCTCCATCTTCGGCACGCCTTTTATTGATGAAATACTGCAACGTACAGCGAGAAGGTGCGGCTGCAGCAGCACACGCATGACAGAGCTGCTGGATTTGGGGACTGGCGCGCTTGGAGGTTGCCGATCTGCGCCCTTCTCCAGCATAGGGGCTGCTGCCCGGAACTGGTACCATAGTTTCTGTAGAGACTTCGTGGCTCACTGCATCCCTTTCATGTGGTTACGCGAATTTGTTTGGCTTGACGGCCTTGGAACCATCCTTTCCTGCTCCGGATGGGTTCCGAGCATCGAGAAGTTAGGGACTGCAAGGGTTTGAGTTCTAGAATATCGTTCTCACGTGTTTCTAATGCATGCCGTTGTTTTGAGCACTTTTAAAAGGAGGGCGCCTTCCGTTCCCACTTTTACACCGCCCCAGTCAGACATGATATCAAGGCGATCACAATTGTCCTGTTGCGTGATAGGCTTCCAGTGCATTCCTATGCGTGCCTACTACGAAGTAAGCCCCATTAACTCCAACGCGATTTTCTTCCAAGGGTTTCTTTCGCCCGAAATCATCCCGCAATTATCTTGAAAACAGACATAGCAACAACAAAAGTGTCTCCTTCAAAAGATACCTCGGGTTACCTCCCAATCAACGGAAGGAAAAGGCGTGCTTTCTGTTGCATCCTTTATCATGAAGTCCTCCAGATGTATTTTCCCCTTCCGCTGTGTTAAAAAGAAGCTTCCCCAAACCGAAGACCAAACCAGTGGCGTGGAGCTTTCTATACTTTGCTACCTCTATTTTGTTAGCTGGTCTCAAAATCGTCGCGAGGCAGGGACGCACTAAAACGCTTTTGCAGTATCCCTGTTGGGGTGGAGACCTGTATTTACACCAGGAGTGTTAGTAAGTGCCCCCCTAGGATCTTCGTACTATTTCAGAAGAAAAAATGCTTGTGAGATTTCCTAGTCCTGTCTTTCGACCTTCTCTCCCTTTTTTCGCCCCCTGCACGTAATAGTATCGTCAACGAGCACGTGTAGAACTACAGAGATAGAACTAAGGTGTAAACTTCCGTGTCCTACATACACTGGATTCCACAGCCGGGTATATTTTGCAGGCTGTTTTTGTTTTCTGCTCTAGAGCAGAGATGACGATTCTCATAGGAACCAATGAAGAAATCCTGATTTTTTTACTGTAACTACGCCTGGGAGGCAGCAACAGTCCGTTACGTGGCAGCAGAGACTTAAAAGTTTGCGCATTGGTGCCGTTCATATTTCCGTAGAACGCAAGAATTCTGCATAAATCCGAGCGCTGGATTTGGGCTGGGATTAAGAAAGTGTCAGAGCAGGCAATTTAGGCCTTATATCCATATCCTTGTAACTACATCACTGCATTGGCAGTAGACGTTGGTTTGTTTTGCTTTTTTAAGGGGCGGGAAACTAAAAGGATTATAAATTCTTTGGCTTCTAGATAGACACATTAAAACAGACTTACGTTATTTTTTTAAAAAATCTGCATTTTTTTAAAACTACGGAGAGCTCTCGCTTTAGTCACGGAGAGGGGAGCTATAGCCTGAGAAGGAGCCAGTAAACACTGGTTTTTCACAAGGGCATTGTTATTCTACCTTTCTATCTCTAGCCAAGTTCCTCCCGCCTTGCGTAGCGTGATGTCGTAAAAGCCTGGTGACCTGAGGACTCGGTCATGTGACAGGAGCTGGGGGTTGCACCCGGAAGGTGTTGGATGGGGCAGAGGGGATGGCGGCTGTCACCGTGGGTCCCGGGTTAGCTTCTCCCGCCCCTGGACTGGGAATGGGACCGGGGCCAACGGAGGGGGCGGACGCTCTTTTCGTGGCATTAAGCGCCGGCATCACGACCTTGAGCCACCCGCTGCTATATGTGAAGCTCTTGGTGCAGGTGCGGTTGGATTCCAGTCCCTTGATGCTGGTTCCGGATGGGTAGGGATTGGGTCTCCGGGGCGTTTCTTTGGGCGTATGGGCAACTATTGAACAGACAGCCCTTGGAGATCAGGAATTGCGGGGGACGCCCTTAAAACTGTGAGATTTTGTATTCTCTTATTTATCTTGGGTTGCAGGTATCTTAGGCTATACCTCTGGATTAGTGGATGTAATTTACGCCCTGTTATCTACTTCCAGGTTTTGTGGTGGACAGCAGTACATTCTACCAGAAGTGCTGTCTTCCAGTCACTGCTCCTTTTGCTACCTGGATAGATATTGTAGGGGTCAATATCTCAAGTCCCTTGCTTAAAATCACACACAGTTGCACCTGATACCTGTTTTTGATTAGTTGTGTACACTACCTATGAGCCAATCTAACTTGCAAGGTAGCAGTGTAGCCTTCCACCTGGCATAGCAGGCAATAAAGTGAAACCCAAACATAAGTTGCAAAGGAAAAAAATCTTTCTGAAGTGGGTGCTATATATATATGTATGTGTGTGTGTGTGTATGAACAGCTGTCTGATGTTTTGAGGTGCAGACTTGCAGAAAATGTAACAAAGCAAGAATTGCCTGTTTTTTAAAAAATTCATTTTTGCATCTTTTTCTTGTGTATTTTGCACATTCTTTCCTTTTTGTCCATGAGCCACATGCTACTACTGATGGATCTCAGTAGTAATTTGTGTGTTTAAACTGGGAAAGGCCTGGACCTGCTGACATAATAACAACCAAAAAATGGAATGCGCATGTGGGGACAGTGTAGCCATTTCTTCTGAGCTGTCTTCTTCAGAGTGACTAGATATGAACCTAAGTGTGCTGTCAATTTGAATGGGTTCCTGTATCTTCACTGAAGAAAACATGAAAGAAAATTCTGGGACTTTAAATGAGGCAGTTCCTGCATAAAAGGCTTGGGAAACTGAAGAAAAGGGTGAGGACAAATGAATGCAGTGAGAGTTTATGTATAGGATCACTTCCTGCTCTAGGGTCCTCCAGATGATTTGGACTTCATTTCCCATTAACTATAGACAACATGGTTAATTGTAAGGATTCTGGGAAGGCAGGCATAGGATGTAAATGTATAAGTAAAGATCCCTTGTATGAGGGATACCACCAAAAAGCAAATGTTACCTGATTGGTGTTTCTTTTAAAGGTTGGACATGAGCCTCTGCCTCCAACAGTTGGAAGAAATTTATTGGGAAGGAAAGTGCTTTACCTACCTGGCTTTTTTACATATGGTGAGCATCCCCCACAAGTAAGCTTTGTGCATGGTCCAGTAAAGACAATATAAAGGTGAAATGATTGATACATCAACAGTTCTGGAATGCTGGTATGAGTCAATTCAGTCAGCACCACAACAAAACGCTAAGTTTGAGTATACTGTTAGTTTGTGGAAACATAAATGAGGAAAAGTTCTTTTAGAACACTTTATTTTAGTCAGAGGACTTACTTTTGCTAGAATGAAAAGGCTGTGTGAGAGCCAAGTGTTAGGATAGTGAAGAAAAAGTGAGAGTTAAAGCTGTGTACAATACTGTCTTTCTTAGTTGCATGCAGTTTTCTGTAGCTTTTAAAATCTTCCCTAAGACTGCAATCCTGTAACCACACAATTGGAAGCCAACTCTGTTGAACACACTTACACTTACTTCTGGGTACGTAGATATAGAACCACACTGATAGTGTCCTGATTTTTAATTCTCACAAGCGATTGCTGTTACTCTTTGTATCAATTTTAGTGTTAATGATGCTGAAACAGAAATAAATAACACATTCTATGAAGTGATGTTTGGTGCTTACTTATTTAGGAAAAAAACCCACCATGCATGTTATGAAAAGTACCGTTTGGTTCCCTGGTCTGTAAATATATCCAGTGACAGTTTAGCCATACACACTTTTTCATCCCAGCACAGTTATTCTTCATTTGCAGCACGTGCTAAGATTAATGGGGAGTTTCCTTCTTCAGAAGAACAGATATTCGCTGTCGGTGATCCAGAATTGCATTTTGACAAGGTTACTTTCTATGAAAGGCTTTGTATGAAGGTCACATATGTCAGTTAAAGATATGGTACGCTATTTTCTTTCATGCCACTTAAAATAGTTCCCAGGGAAAGCAATTCTTGCTGTCTTGGGACTTAGACATAGGATAAATCAGATTCCCAGATCTGCAATCAGAAACAGAATTCTTGCCTTAGAGCTAGAAATCTGTGCTCCACTCCCCTTCCCGCTTGCAGCTCCTGCAGTTCTTTCCATGTCAACTGGCTCTCCAAGACTGGGAAAGCAACCTGGTAGAGGGGGTAAAGGGACATTCCAAGAGCAGGGAGGGGAAGAGTCCCGGACTGAGAGCATGCAATGTATCCTGATGGTGTTGCAGCCTTCTTTCTCCCCCCGCACCTCAGCTGCATGTTAATGATAAGCTGTCCCTCTTCAGGGCTTAAGAGTATGTAGCCCACAATCAGCAGGATTGCACCCTTAGAAAATCATTTGGTACCTGTTGAATTCTCATTAGTGACTTGGTTTGCAGGAGATGGTGAACCATTAAAAGATGGGGACACACCGGTAATTGTATACAAGCTTTGCTACTCTACATTGCAACTTCCTTCAGGAAAAATTAATCAAAACAATTCTTTAATTGTGTGAGAGGTGGTTTGCATTTAATGCACTTTGCTTTTTAATTTATAGAATCTCTTTTGCCACTGTAACCTACAATCTAGTTTTTTCCCTAAAAAACTATCGGCTGAGGGGTAAATAATGTGCTGCTTCAATCATATTGTACATATATTCAGAATCATTTCCTGTCTAATACTCCTGAAATAAAATGTGTACCTTAGGAATAAATTATTAGTTCGCAGCAAGCTAGAAGTAGATGTGGGAATCAGTCTTGATTTACTATGCAGCAAACAACTACAAATTATAATATAATTACACTGGGGCACATTTTAGTTTTTTCCTTTCTCCAGTTGTAGGATGTTTATCATTAGTTAGGTTCCATACAGTTTCCTTCTAGACATTTTGCAGATTATAATGTGAATTTTTTTTGTGGGGGGGGAGGGAGAAGGGAAGCACAATTAAAACCAAGTTATTGGGATCATCACTCTCTCCTAGCCCAATAACATCCAGTCTTACTATTTAATATAGGCAGACTGCAACAGAAAGATAAGCTGAAAATGGCAGGCTTCTCCTCATTTTATGACTCCAGTAGCAGCCAAAAGTCTGATGCCATGAGATATACAATGGTGCCTCGACTCACGAACGCCTTGGTTCACAACCAAATCAGGTCACGAACAAAAATTTCATGAAAATTTGGACTTGGGTCGTGAACTTTGCATTGGGTGGCAACCAAGATCGCAGCCATCTCTACCCCCCCACCCCCGAGTGGGGAGATGGCCACGATTGCAGTTGCATTTGTGCAGGGAAGACGTGCGTGATCACGGGCACGCTCCTGCAGGAAAGATGGGCTCAATCTCGGCCACCTCATCCCCCAGCCAGCACGATCATGGCCATCTCCCCATCCCCCCAAGTGGGGAGATGGCCACAATGGCATTCGTGTTCGTGCAGGGAAGACATAGAGGAGCTGACGATAGAAGATCTTGCTGAACTCCGGAGTGAGCAGCAGAAGGCACTTGCTGAGGAGGATTCCACTGAGGAAGCGGAAGACAGGGAGGAGGTTAGCAGTGATGTGATACAATCCATTATGAAAAAATGGAATGAGTGCCAGGATTTCTTTGAGAAGCACCACCCCAACGTAACTGTAACGAACAGCAGGAAAAAACAAGTGACTATAGACAGATTTTCCACCAAAATTGACCCTGCAGCTAAGAGACAAAGAAGAGACGATCCCCTGTGTCCTTATGGAGGGGGACTCTCCCTCAAAACAATAACCTCCCCCACCCACCTAGGTTAGTGTTCTCCACTGTACTGTACAGCACTTTGTCACTTTGTTGTTCTTTGTCACTTTGAATCAAACTGCTCTGATTAAAAAAAATCAGGGTCACAACCAGAGTTGTGGAACGGATTAAGTTCATGAGCCAAGGTACCACTGTATGTTATTTGGACTAAATACTGAAAGCAGGACCTCTTGAACACTGACACTGAAGTGATACCACCATCATTTATTCCCTAGCCAGGCATATTGTGGATGTGGATGGGAAAAGGGGCCTTTTCCGTGGCCTCACTCCTCGCATTATCTCTAGCACTTTATCCACCATAAGCCGAGGGCGAATAAAGAAGGTAAGACACAAGCTTGTTCTCTGTGCAGCATGTATTGAGGGCTAATTGTGAGAGAAGTGATATGGGCCAGCATTCCATTTTCAGCAAACTCTCATATGACAGCCCTGCCTGTTGAGGTTTGGAAGGGACGGAGCTTCAAGAATAGCAGCCACCACCCCATCTGAGGCAAGTAGGCTCTTTTCTTCAACCAGAAGCAGTAAATCCTTTTACTGCCCCAGAGGTGCTGAATTCTACGAACTGCAGCTGGCCTTATAGTACATAGAACCCCTCAGATCCCTTCTCCTTTAAAAAAAAGTTCTGTGAGCAATTTCCTGAGTCATTCAGTATTTCTTTCAACTACAGTCAAATCCTGATAGCCCTTCTGGACCATATTTTAAATTAATTGATTACTAAATCACCATCGGGCTGCTTTAGGAATGTCTGAATGCCTCCAACCTCCCTAAAATAATGAGGTGCTGATCCTTTCTGACTGACCTTTTATTTCCCGTGAAAGCTGGCTGGTTTGGCACTTCTTGGCCTGTTTTACCTTTGACAGTGGGGCTGTTGATTTCACTTTTCTAATCTTCAGTGACAGCCCCTCATTAAGGATGGGAGGAACACTGCTCTGTCTCCTGCCAAGATAAGTTGGCTGTCTTCCACTCCATCCCCTCCTGCTGTGCACAGGAAAGCTCCAAAAGCCCGACCCTGTCTGGTTCAGTTGTGCAGGCTGCTGCCCCTCCCTTTTGGGCATTGCTTGGAAGGGGGAAGAAAAGCTCATTCCTACTTTAGCAGAGCTGGGTAGATGTGGACTTTCTTGTGTGGCAGCCACAGATGTAGGCACAGGGTAGTGAGCTGGAGGTACATGCATGCTTCCACGCTGGGAGTTTTCAAAGCAGGCAGCAGTGTCCCGTTCCATTTCTGGGACGCGGAAGGCCTTGTGTGGTCCTTTCCCCTTGCAGAAACAGTGTGGCTAAGAAGACATGGAGGTGGGAAAGGGAAGCAAGGATGCATGGATTGCATGCATTCAAATCTCTACCAGGCATCTTGGGCAAGTCACTGTCTCTCAGCTGAACTTGCCTATGGCTTTTAATGAAGATATAATGGGGAAACCCCACCCTATGTATGTTTCCCAGAGCTTTCTAGGGGAAGGGCAGGACACAGACTTGAAAAGTTTTCTCTCTGCCATGCTGTATTTATCTGAAGTGGGGTAGCAGGATCTCAGTGATACATCAGATGTCTTGCTCTACATACCAGGGTCGCTGAAGGGATGTTAGTTTAATATCTTTTACTTTCTTTTTTTTAACCCCAGGCCTTTCCTTTGGAGGATATGGAACATGTCTCTAACAAGGATGATGTGAAAACGTCCCTCAGGAAAGTGGCAAAAGAGGTGGAACCCACTGAATGCTTTCTGTTTCATTTGTCTTTTACCTAGTACTTAATGAGAGCTTTACATTTTAATCTAGAAAGTTCATTCTGAAGGTTGACTTCACCACCCATCTGGCTCCTTCCTGTAATGCTAAACTTAGTTTGAAAAAGCACCACAGGCCAACATTATGGAAAGGTGGGAAAACCTGTATGAGTGATATGAAAATGTGCACAAATATTTGCCCCCACTGGGCTTCTTTAATATTAAATAAACATACTTCTAAAGCATTTTGCTCTGGTTATCAAGATTAACTTGAGATTGCTAAATGTGGAATGGTTTATCAGGAAAATGCAAACATAGGGTCTGTCTGATTTCTTGAAATTTCAGCTCGATGGAATTCTAGCAATCAAGAAGTAAAATAAGGCTCTGTTAATGTGAAACATGGTATAATTTAATTGTATGCAAGATGAAAACTCCCTCCAGTATGTTTAATCTATGAAATTTGGAAAGTTTGAAAGCAAATGCATTTTTGCCTTCAGATGTAGCTCATACATCTGCAGCCTGGGCATGCACTGGAGGTACAATTACAGTAACTTCTAATTACAGCAATTTCACAGTCTTCCTTATCTGAATGATCTGGATTACAGTTACACTAGAATGAGACCATATGAGAGACAGGGAGTGACTTAAGGTAATGAAGTGACAGTGGGAGGTACTGTATTCTGTGTCACCCAGCAAATAGATCTGTGTTGCAGGTGAAGAGGGGATTAATCAGTTTTCCTCCCTAGATATACCAACTTGACTCAGTTATAGGTGCCCATTTTTAAGAAGGTTCTTTGTTGATAGATTTTATCTGACCTTTATTAATATATGTTTTTGATGTATTTTATCAGACTTCTCATGAGATGATGATGCAGTGTGCATCCAGGGTTATCTCTCATCCTCTGCATGGTAAGATGCGGGATCTGTTCTTTGGTTCTCTTTCTCAACTGTAATATCAATTTGTAGATGAACATTCTTTTCTTCTTGGCCCCTTGAAAGCATTTACTTGCTACAAGAGTCAAGGATAATCTTAGTCTTGATTGCATCTGATTATGATCTTAATTTGAGATTATCTATTTATGATATGTCCATCATGGAAAGAAATATTGCATTATCATAAATGATGGCTGTAAATGGGTAATTCTGTTTTTGTTTGTCATACTACCATGAACATGGAAGAAATGTGTTGGGTTCACATTTTAATACAAACCAGCTTAATTTGCACTGCATGAACTAATGCACAAACCAGAATGCAGTTATCCTTGTTTCTTTGGTTTTTCAATTTTTGCAGTGTAGTACCCTGATAAAAATTGTGTACAAGAATGCAATCACAGGGGAAAATTGAACAATATGCACTGGTGTCTTGTAGTTTGAATGACTCTAACTTCAAACGATCTGGCGTTCAAACGCTAAAGTTGAGATAAATTTGCTCCAAAGTTCGATTGATGCTTCTATGTTTGAACTGCATGCACAGTGAAAAAACATGGCTGTTGTGTAAATGTCATCTGTTGTGCACCCAAGTCATCTCTTGCTGTGAAACTTCTCTTGTGTAACACTTGTGCAGGATGGTAAATGCAATTTTCATTTTGTAGTACAGCACATATTTACATAGTTTGTTTTCAGGTTTTAATTAACAATTCTGGCATGTAATTGTGTTATTTTTACCTTAAATTATGCATATTTGCTGCTTACGTTTATCAAAATGGACAAAGTTTAGGATCTCAGGGAACAGATTAGATCACTTTCCATGATTTCTAATGGAGAAAGTTCATTTGAACTTGGAATGATTCAGAGTCCACATGGCCTCCTGAAACAAATTAGATTTGAAGTACAAGATACCAGTGTATATTCTGCCTGTTAAATGCTTTAAGAAATTTAGAAACTGAGACAGAACAAATCTGTGCTTAAAATATATGCACATTCTAGAAATCAAAGCAGATTCATTCATTGCTAACAACTACTACCCTTTCCAGGATAGGCCAGACATGCACATGGTAGGCAGGTCATGAGCAGAGCCGGCTGGAGCTCTGGGGGTCAGACTAGATGGCCCAGGAGATCTCTTCTGACTCGCTCTGTTTCTATGTTTCTATTTCATGGTCTTTTGTCTTTACTGTTTATAAATTGTGTGTGATAGATACACCTAACAACTGTAGAAAACATGTTATGCATTTGGCAAACTAGGCTTTAATTCTTGTACATTTGTGCTATATTTTCTTAGTCTTTAGGGTACTGGAAGGATCTGGAGGTTTTGGCACATTCAGGTACAGATCCACCTTGGTATGCCTGTTAAGGATAATGAATGAAGAAATATTCAGTGGTAGCTTTCGTGATTCACATATTCCTTAACAGATCTGTTTCAGATGATTGAATGGATTGCTTCTAAAGCCACCTATATCTTTTTCCCCCTCTACAGTGATCTCTGTGCGTTGTATGGTCCAATTTGTAGGACGGGAAGTTAAATACAGGTGAGATCATGCTGTCATTCTAAAGGTGAATCTGAGAAGAGGAGCTAGGAATCTAAGAAGCATTCATTGCTCAGTGTAAACAGAAGCTTCAGCATCTACTTTCTCACCATTCCCAACCCTTCCCTGTGAGTCACTGTGCCTTTCGTTGTGACATACCCATTGTTCCTCTGAAATTTATGCACTTCAGCTTTCCCCGGTTCCTGAAAAATGAGGCATAACACCAGTTCTGTTTCATGATATCCTTGTGCAGAAGTCTAAGCTAGTACAACCTTCGTTGGTGCAGTTGCAAACAGAAAGCTTTGCACAATCTGAAGTGGGTGGAAAGCAACTCTGATGCTAAACAGAATCCTCCCCACAAGTCCCAGGGGCACTTTCCTTCCCTTGCTTAGGAAAACTACATTATACCAAGTCAAAACTTTGGTCCATTTAGCCCAATTTTGTCAGCAATCAATGGCAGCAATGCCTTTCTGGTATTTTCAGGAAGGTTTCCTTCCAAACCCTTCATAGAGTTTCAGGGATGTTCTGCATATAGATCATGTGCCGTACCACTAAACTGTGTTTCCTCCTGTATGGTTGCCTGTATCCATAGGTACCCAATAATTTCAGAACAAGACATTATGCTGAGTGGTGAGAGCTAGGTTTTTAGGCAGTATTTTTCTAGAGGAGGGAGATGAAACTTCCCAGAAGTGTCATGCTAAAACAATTGGTGTGAACAGGCCTTCTTTTTGCTTATCAAGGATATCTGATCCCAGTCACAAGTAGGTCCAAGCCACCATGCCTAGCACACTTTTGACTCATCTACTTTAAAAAGCCATCAAAAGTTTCAAAACTGCGAATGCTTCTGGTGTTCCTTGCTTCTCTTGTTCCATAATGAGAACAAAAGTAATAAACACTGCATTTGTAGATGGATTATTTTCAGTCCGGTTATTCAGCAGATTGAAGGGGTGTGTGAGAGAGCTCCCTCAAGTCTGTTTTTCTTTCTCGACAGAGGTGTGTTTAGCTCCATTGGGACAATTTGGAAAGAAGAAGGACTCTTGGGATTCTTTGTGTACGTGAGTCTGTCAGAATTCCTGACAACTTCCACTAAATCTGAACCTGCTGTGTTACTTTTGATGGCCAAATAATGCACAGTCAAGAAGACTTTGGATTGGGTTCTCCCCCAACACAGACACATGACTGTCCCTGCACTCTCTAGCTTAGTTCTGCTTTGCTGATCAGGTACTGCATAGGATGTGGTGACGTCCAATTGGATGACCTGGAATTCTAAAAAACTGAATATGTATGAAAGGGCAAAGGGACTCCCAACCTGGTGCCCTCCGCGTGTGTCGAACTATAGTTGCCATCATCCTAGCTAATCAAGCCCTGCTGGTGGGTGATTATGGGAGCCCAGCACATCTGGAGGGTGCCTAGCTGTGAAATAAGCATCCATGAATTTAGTTGCCTTACTCAGATTTAAAGAACCCAGTAAAGGCACAAGTCCACTTTAAGCTGGTACGAGATTGCTGAGCCTGCAAAGCAGAGCTGGAGGAATAGCGGCAAAAAGGAGGCAGCAGTGCATCTGAATAGTTGAAATAGGGACAATGAGCTCTGGAGTTGGCACAATACAACAAGAAGATGAGCCTTCTAGTTAGTGGAAGCATTCCACTTGATGCCTGATAGCACATCTAATGCATGTTTAGTAGTACAGCAACGGTTAATCAGAGCTTGCAGGCATATTACAGCTTCCAATCAATGTGGGCTTACAGATACTTCATTGTAGCCTTCCCCAATGTGGTGCACTCTAGATGTTTTGAACTTCAGCTCCCTTCAGCCCTAGCCAGCATGGGCAATGATCAAGAATGCTAAGAACTGTTGCCCAAAAGATCAGGAGGGCACCAGATATGGTATCTGGCTCTACTGGTTTGTAAAACCTCATTTTTTTGCCGCAGCTTGAATTTTACCAAGTGGTGGTATTCTTACCCTATCAGTGGTTGGCATACCCTGCTCTGCCCTCATGGTTCTAGGAACACTATGATAAATTACTTGACATCTAGTGAATGATTGTCTGGATTCATGTTGTGTTGAAGGCAATTGGTTCTTAATGCTCTTGAGTATTTCCTGCCCCAAATTACTCTTGTTTTGCTTGGAAGTTCTGCATTCTAAGTGCACATTTCATCATTTCATCAGCATTTCTTTTCTCCTCCTTTTCCCTTGGGACTTGGTAAAGTTTGCATGGAAGTGAGGAACCTTTCCTCTGGGCATGATCTTGGATTTTAGTTCATCATATACCCTGGTTAGATTGCTATATTCAGAGTACCAAGTTCATTTGCATAACCTTTAGAAGCATGGACAGTCTTTTTTTCCAGATTGTGAGATGCTAAGTCTTTTTTCTCATCCGCTTGCTTTTTCAGAGGCTTAGTTCCACACATCCTGGGTGACATAATTTTTCTATGGTGCTGCAACCTTCTGGCTCACTTTATCAACACCTATGCAGTGGATGACAACGTGAGTAGAGGCCTTTTGGACTGGATTGGTTGTTCATTGGTTTAGGGAGTGTAACTTATGCTGATATCAAAAAAAATGTGGGTCTGAAGAACCCGATTTTCTTGTTAATAACTGAAATAAAAATAATATGTTTGGGTGGTAACAAAGGTATGGAGGGAGAAATAAAAAGGGTTTTTTTTCCTACTTATTGGAATGCTGGTTGAAGCCCCATTGTAAAACTGCATGAATTGTGTGAATGAAGCCACTCTCTGTTTCATTTCCAAAGCTTAAAGTGAGTGTGACTTTAATTTGATGATAAAAGGAAGTAGAAATTATGTGAACTGTGTTTATTTCTCGATGCTGTTCTGATTGGATGTAAACGTCACCGGCTTAAACCTTGCCCTGCAGCAGCCATTCCTATGGAAAGGCCCTTTCCATCATTCTAGGCAGCACTCTCTGCACCTAACTTCCCATATTCACTTTTTGACTAGTTTACCTAGTGTGCCACAAACTTCAGTCTAAGGAAATTTCAAAAGCCATTTCTTGGACTTGCTTATTAATATGACTCATAAAGTCTGTTGCATGTTGGACATTAGTTCAAAGATCAAGCCAAAGGTTAATTCCACGGAAGGACAGGCTGGGCTGTCTGTAATTGCATGGTTCATTTGTCCTTGTCTTCTTCCTTGAGGAACTGTGATTACGAAGTCTTCAGTTCAGTGGGTATCTCTTGTCAGTCTAAAATGGTATTTCTCACTCCATGACTTAGATACAGGGCAAATCATAGCTGTGCTTAGACTTCTACCAGTCCCTTTACACATTTTCCAGCAGTATTACTGATACCTGATGGTCTTCTTCTATTGTGCGCGATGGCTTGGACTTCAAGTCCTCTTTTGATTTCCTCTTTTCAGTTCAACCAGGCCTCTGTGATCCGGAGCTACACCAAATTTGTGATGGGGGTATGTAAACAATTGCTTCAGTTGGGGAAATTCAGGTATATGTTTGTGTGCCTGTGTTCCTTGTCCTGTCTGATTTCATGGCTCTAGGTAAATCAGTGTGCTCCCAAGTATACCTTGGTATAAGCATTCAATAACAGCAAGTAATCATTTGAAGAACTTCAGATCAAAACTGCACAAACTGCTGCGTTTTAGTACCCTGACTGAAAAGCAATAATCAGCAACCTTTGGGGCAGTTGTGCTGCAAGTCCAAAGTGTGAAATAATGTCATTATTTTGGACCTGCCAGCAGGTATCATCCACCCCATGTCCTGGTAACTATTCTGCAAGCTTCTCCCAAACTCAGTAGCTCAGCACTGGGGAGGCAAGCGACAGTGTAGACCAGGGGTCCTCAAACTTTTTCACCAGGGGGCCAGTTGAAAGGTGCCAGTGCTGGGCACGTGCCAGAAAGGTGGTGCCAGTGGTGTGCACGGGCCGGTGAGGGGGCGGGGGCGGGGGCAGGGGCGGTGCGTGCGTGAGTGCTGAGGTGGGCACGCGCCGCGAGGGGAGGCGAGGCAAGGGCAGGCACGTGCTGTGAGGCAGGCGCAGGAGGCAGCATCTTGCTCGCTTGGAGATCATTTTCTCCAAGTGAGCAAACCGCTGCCTCCCCGTGCACGGGGCGAGGTGGGTGGCAGCGGGCGCGCATGGGCATGGCGGGTCCAAATGGGCATGGCGGGCTGGATCCGGCCCCGGGGCCGTAGTTTGAGGACCCATGGTGTAGACCTTTCTCAGTTTCATGTACAGGCTCACCAAAGCTCCTGCTGCATTTTGGCCTGTCGTGGCTTAGTAGTTCTTGAGTTCATAAAATGGGTTCCTGCCTAATTTTTTCAAATTTCAGCTCCCTGAGATAATTAAGGTTAAGGTAGAGGTGGAGGAACCACATGCCTGGGAGCCAAAACCATCCCTCCTAGGATCCCAGTCTTGTCCCCTTCCCTGGCCCCATCAGGTTTCCTCCAAGTTTCAAGTCTAGTGGTTTCCTAATTCCTGTGCAGTTTGTTTCCCATTGGAAGAGGTTGAAATCCCCATCTTAAGGGTTAATTACCAGCAGAAAAAGCTTTAAGCTCTACAATCCTATTTGGAGATAGACTCTCACCCTTTACTTTCAGCCCCACCCACTGTTGGAATATGGTCCTCAAGTGTTTCTCCAAAATTGAATTCAATGTTCAGGGTAAAAGAGGTTTCCATTTCTGGGTTAGAGGAAAAGCTTGTTTCTGAAAATACCAGCCCTCCTATCTGTAAGGCCTGTGGAATGGCAAATGGCAACCACAATCTGGAAAATCTTCTGGTCTGCCCAGGTGCTGCTTACACATGAGAAACTGCTGTGCTGCCAAGCCTAAATTGAATAAATGTGTCACTAATAAAGTGCAACCTGAGCAAGAAACTGATTGTTGTCATAGCTTGTTCTCTGTGTATATGAGTCCCTTTCCAGGCATACATTTTTATGGAAATACATGGCACTGCTCCTAAGCATCTTGCTGCCAGTCCTGATATAAATCTGTGGTCCATTTTACTTCTTTCCTACTGACATTAAGCCTGTCTCTGCTGAAAAGTGTTCTTTCTGAGTGCCTAAAACTTGCCGGTCCTTTCCAGTTTCCATTCTGTCATATGACGCCTTCCTGCTTATTGTTTGTTTTTGGGTTTGTGCGCACACGTGTGTCTGTAGAAGAGGATGCTTCAGTCATTTCTTTCTTTCAGATTGCTGTGAGCATGCTGACATACCCTTTTCTTCTTGTGGGAGATCTTATGGCAGTGAACAACTGTGGGTATGTGATTTCAGCACCACCTTGTCCTGCCCAACTTCTTAAATAAAAACGTAGCAGGTTTCATGTTCGGCAGAACTACTCAGTCTACACATAGCTTACCCTTATGTGTATAAAGCAAACATGAAATGTTCCCTTTCATCCAAACGACTGGTGATTTGAAGAGGATTTATGCGGAGAGGAGAGGAGAGGCTTTGTGCATGCTTATGCTCGCTCACTCGTGCTCTCTCTCTGTCTGTGTTTGTAAACAGCCCAATGTTATTTTCACCAGCCAGCACACATTTTGAACTCAGTAAATAGGAAACAGCCAGTCACTTTCTTTCAGAGTTATGAATGTCCAAGGTCATCAAAGGAGCCGATGATGATGGATTATTTTTATTTTAGCATGTGTCACGTATGTCCTATCTAAAACACCCAGCCAGGATGCTTTGCAGTTGCTTATGGCCTGACTTCCTGAACAGAAACATTATATATTTGCTTCATGTGTAACTGTATGAATGAGAGTATCTGGCTGCAAGAACTGTTCTTGTTTCTGTCTGTGCCTGGAGTGTTCCTTCCTCCATACTGTGTTCCCCGTTTCTCTACCCTGACTTCTCTCTTTGCTGTATAGGTTACTTGCGGGCCTCCATCCATATGCCCCTGTGTTCTCCTCTTGGATTCATTGCTGGAAGCACCTCAGTGCTCAGGTGAGCAACAGTCTTGACTCTGAGGTGAGATTTGCCAGAGAGTAATAACCTGATTCCTAACCATCATTTCTGCTTCATCAATAGATGGGAGAAGCATGTCCTTAACTGGGATTAAAGGAATCCTAGCTACAGGGAAACCTATCTTTTGAACTCAGAAGTTCAGCCACAAATTACTTCTCTTGCTGCCCAATGTCATTTTTACTCTACTTTCCTCCCTACTATCTTTAAAAACTAGCCTTTCATCATCCAGGTGTTCTCCAAGTGTGTGGACTTTTTAAAAGAAAAAAAAACTCCACCCAAGCCATCATTGTCTATAACTTTCAGATGATAGAACTTGTACTATAACATTTCTGGAAAACACCAGGTTGGGGAAGTCTGCTTTAAAACCACATTTTTTAAACTTCAACATTTGTAAGGGTAATCTTCCCAGTGACTGCTGTTCCTAGTAGATTTGAGGTAGAGTGCCTACTGCATTATATTACACAAGGATTTCCTATGCATAAGAAGCAGACATGGAGGCATGTGGGGGAAAAAATCATGGTTTGGGATTTTCCTCCAGCTTTTCAAAAATTTTATTCATGGTTTTGGATTTTGCTCTTGTAAGCAGCACACTTGTTTAGTAAAACATACCATTGTGCTTTGTATGTTCATCCCACCATGTATGAAAACAGTTACACTTACTTTTTACACTTGGGCACATGATTTTCTAAGTTGCTGTTCTTCTTTGCTCTCACACTGTCCTTTTCCGCACAAAGATTACTATGAATGCTTTGCAGCAGTTTTGTTTTCAGATCATATCAAACTCTCCAACTCACTGTTTCCAATGCTCTAATCGTCATCTGAAGTTTGCTGCCATTATTTTTCTTTATGTGCATCCTTTGTAACATTCTTCCCCAACTTGGTGCCCTCCAAATGTCTTTAGACTAAGCTCTCACAATCCCCTCAGTGTGTCAGCTTCATCCCCCTGAGTATCTTCAGAAATGCAGATGCATCCACTCCATCCTTTCTGTGGATATTTATGTTAACCATGCTTTTTAAAAAAATCTGCCAAGCCTTCAGGTTATTTCAGCAACTGACAGCATGACTTACACAGGCTGGGGTTTACTGTGTGTCCGTTCATCATTTCTTTTTCCCTCCCTTAACGGGCACTTGCACCCCCCTCCCTGATCCCACATTGTGGTTGAGTGGCATGTGAGCATAACCCCTGCCCAATCCATGATTTCTCTCCTGCATTCCTCTACAGCTATGTGCCCTTGAATGCAGCAAAGGCCCACTCCTGTTTGCTTATTCGATGTCAAGTGCACCCATAAGTGGAACAGTCACTCATAGTTCAAGCAAGAATAGAGATGTTTGCCTGCTGATGGGATCATCAGAGCTGCCCAATGGAGAGGAAAATTGGTGTGTTTTGTAACTGGCAGAGTTCCAGATACTCTGTGCTTTTTGCAAACTAACAAGAGCTCCAAGCTAGATTGCAATGCTTTTCTGCTCTTTCTGCTAAAGTCTCACGCTAACTATACAATTCCATTGTTCCTCTTAGAGGGTGGAGAACATTCTCTGTTCCATTCTCTTGAGTTCTGTAGAGATTAGTTTCTGCATTTTTCTGAAAGAATGAGGCAAATGTAGGGTTAGAATCTCACCTTTAAAAAATTGCTACAACTTTGGTCAATAAGTATACAAATCTCTGACTCTCTGCTCTATAAGCATAGTGAAGGCTTGGAGATAGTTTTGTCTCTATGTTTTTTTGAATATCTTAGTGACTTAGAGGATGTTTCTTAAAAAAAAGTTGACGCACCCTGAAAGCATACTTTGTCCCTCAGGGTAGTATAAATGCAAACATTTAAGAAACTCTACTGAAAATGAAGTACAATGCAGAGTGTCGGTTTCTGACACTGTTTAAATCCTTTCTAATTAACATCTACTCTGAACAAGGCTTTGTTCCTTAAGAAGAGTGTGAATCTTAAACATGCCTGTGTCTCCCCTAGTGGGCATTGTGTTGGCCTCTTTTGAGTCGCCCTGCTGCTGAGCTTGTGGCTACAGGGTACAGCATCGTGGCTGGTCCCCATGACCACTGCTGCCCTTCCTCCAATGGCAAGTGGGAGCTAGCAGTGGTGGCCACTACGCAAGGAACGATCTTGTAGTATCATTTCAAATCTGTCAAGCTGTATGGCAGAGGTGAGCCACCCAGCTCTCTCCTGGGCTAGAACTCCCATCAGCCCCAGCCAGCATGATCTTTGGCCAGGTATTAGAGGAGTTGCAGTCTAGAACATCCAGAGGACACCAGTTTCCATACACAAAGGCAGTCCAGTACATAATGATGAAAACTTGAAACTGGCTGAAGAGGGGAATGGAAGTATTTCCTACTGATGGGAGTAACCTGGGTTTCAGGTGAACATCATCTCTGTGCAACTGGCATGCCTGCCTCTTGCATCATTCTCCGGTTGATGTCATAATTCAGTCACTCCATAGCTGCTTTTGTCCATCCGTTCATCTTTGTCTTCCTCAGCCAGGCCCTTATGGTGTGCTCACCTACTCCTACTGCTATGCTTGCAGCTGCAGTGTACAGCATCCTGGTGTTACTGGCCTTCATGAACACTGATCATTGTTAGATTTGCTCTAGCAGCAGTGGTGACTGCCACTCTAGGGCAGATCTCAGTAAACAGTTCCCCATAACTATCTCCTCTTCTTCCCCTAGGGGCAGCTCTTCAGAGGTTCCAGCCTGCTTTTTCGCAGAGCATCCACACCAACAACCTTTCTTATTGACTAATCACACCTGGAAAGAAGAGACCAACCTAATCTATCATAGAAGAAACCCTAAAAGCTTGCTTTGACATTTCTGTTTAATTTTGAAGTCAGAGGTGAAAGAGCCACAGCATTTTCCTCCCAGCATATTGGACAAGGGTGGCTTAAGTTCTTAAGTTACTTGATGAATTTGCCTGTCAAAGGAAAGGAGCAACTCTTCTGTGCTGGTCAAGGCTTCACTCAAAGGGGGCATTCTGGCTGGGTGAAAGTTATAGTTTCATCTGATTTGGCATGTGCATGGCTTGCTTGGATCAGGACTCAAGGAGAAACTGGTTTACATCTTTCCCTGCACTGGTTAAACTAGACAAATTTCAGGTTGGCCGCAATCTCTCCTTCTCGGTGCCAGTGTTAGAAAAATGGGAGGAAAGCTTAAGCTCAGTCAGTTTTGGCCTTTACCAAGGATTAGCTGTCCTGTTTGTTAACCTCAACTTACACTGGAATAGCTTCCCTACCTAGAATTCAGCAGGGCCACAGCAAACAAAGTAGTAGTATTACTGAATTCCTAACACCGCCTTGTATAAACCTGAGTCTTGGTTTACCATAACATGTCAAAGCAGCCTACTATCCACCACCTGCAGTTTTCTGCGTGATGCTCTCAAGTTGAATGTTTGACACATGTACTAAGTTTTATCTGGGTTTTGTACAACCCATAGTCCTGTACACTTGAAGACAGCCTGTACTATGGGCATGGAGGTGTTTCCCCCAGGAATATAATGATGAGTATCTTAAGACCTGAAGTGAGTATTTGCTCACTAGTTTGGTGATGGTGAAGAAATAGACAATGCTATTAAAGGCTGAGATCTGAAGGGCCAAGCATGCAATGCCCTGTGCATCGGGGCTTTTCCGCTGTTTTATATCAATGTGTGAGCAACTTAGCTTGGAATGGACAGTTACAAGAGTAAAACATTCATTTACCTTTCACATAACACTGCTCAGTCTTGATGCACAGTTGTGTTTCTTTAGCTAAAACATAAAACCATTTGGGCTGATGACTCAAACTGCAGTAGAACCTCCTGCAAGAGGGGTCTGTTCATGGGATGGATGTATGCACAATGAGAGTGCGTGCTCTTTGAAATGGATACATTCAAATCTGTGTAGTCACCTTTTCCCTTTGTTGAACTTTTACAATAAAAATAAATTATAAACATGAAAGCTGATGAAAGTAGCACAGGCCTATGCATGTTTACTCAGAATTAATTTCTGTGGAGATCAGTGTGAGTGGTACCCATAGAAGTACATAGGGTTGCAACCAAAGAGTAATCCTGTGGTTCCTGACTGAGCGTCTCAGGGACTATAGGATGGCTCAGAAACTCCCTCTGAGGTCAGATGATGCTCCATCCACAGAAGGAGGAAGTCAGAGATCCAGCACTGATCTCCCACAGCTGGCATGAAGAGCAGCATTGGCTGCCTGTCCGAGGGCAGAAAATCAAACTTAAAGAAGGGAGAAAGGGTGCATTGTAGCGGTTGGGGATGGAGGAAACTGGCAATGCCCGGATATAATTTATCTTGAGCTACCTCTTTCCTTCCCACTCCAAAGCACCTTTTTTAGACAGGCCAAAATGCCCATCCAGCAGGTTCAGCCCAATAGGGCACAGGACTCTGGGAAGTCTCTGAGTTCAGGGTCTTCTCAGCAGTGAGGTCATAGCCCAAGAATTGTACCCATAGTGTATTCTGGGAAGATTCTACTTCAGATTTGTTCACAACCATGAGCTGACCAGGTGTCTTGAGACAAGATGTAATCTTCCAGCTTCAGTTCCCTAGCTACAGTATAGGATAAACTGGCCTATGCTTTGGGCTCTCTGTAATAATTATTGATTTAATGTGATGAAGGGCTTTGAAGGTTCTTGTGTTACATAAATGCTGAGTTTTTTCAAAATAAATCTGTTGTGGATATTGCATTTAACTGGATGTCTACATAGATCTACCTCTTAAACTGTACTTAGCAACAGGGCCTGTCAAAGCCATAAATACCTTCCAGTTGGAGTGCAGAGAGCTACAGGCATCATTTTGCTTGTCCTTTGCTGGTCAGGCACATTTTCGGATATGTAGCCTCTGGTTGTCTGAAACATCTAGCCCTTACTCGTTATTTCTCAAATGGGGCGGGGGGTCTTCTGTGGCTCCCGTTGGTAAGCATTCCATTGTGGAATGTTGCTGTCTCTTTAGCAAAGAAGGCTGACCTTCAGCTCATGATTCCTTTGTTGGCTTGCTAACTTACCTGCAAACTAAGGTTTGCTGATTCAGCTCATGACTAATCGCCTAACATGCTTAATCCATTAATTTAAAATATTATGGCAGCAAAGCCTTTTATGGCAAAATCCCATGAATTTGTTCTAGGAAGACGGAAGTACCCATGGTTTAAATGGTTGGTGCCAGGTTCAGCCGATAGCATCTCCTTTGTAGAAACATGGTCCACATGGCAAAGGCTCCTGTTTCTAACCTTGGGCAGCTACTGCCAGGCAAGGAGAAAATAGTGGACCAGATGACTAATGGTCTGAATTGATATAAGGCAGTTTTATATGGCTTGGCCTAAAGCTTTCTAGCCATAATTCTAGCCTATTCTCTTAAGCAAGACAGTGCTTGGTAGGCTGCTGTCTTGGCTGTTGGGCATATGTTTTTCACTGGGTCCTGTTCTGGAGCTGCTTATGACCATAGTTGGGCTTCTGCATTTCCAAAGATACTCTAAGAATGTATATTAAATCAGTTGGAGAATCAACTTTTGACAGTGGTTTTGCTGTATAACTAAGGTATTAATAGGACCACATAATTGTAATATGTAAGCAGAGGGAGTGATGTGGGCTCAGTGACCTTTTTCATGTACCGGTAGAGGTGCAAAGTTCTCTTCTCTTTTGTATAGAGCTAACTTTGCTTTCACCATTGATATAGTAAGAACAGATGTTGCATAGGAGCTTTCCAGTAAACCATGTTGATCAAAGCTAGAGTATTTGATGCAGGATCATATCTTATAAGGGCACCAACAGCTTCTATAACTGAATTTATATTAACACCCCATTACAGAAATTCTGTGGGCCACTCACAAGCAGGCACGATGTCAACATGTGGGATACAGCCACTAAAAACAAATACACAGAATTTTAAATTCAGAAGCCCAGACTAAATTTTTAAAAAATATATAAAAATATGTTATATATACTCTATTTAAATAGAAGTATCTGTATATGAGCCAAAAAGACCACAAAGTCAGGTAGCAAATGCGTCTCTCTGTGGAGAATGTTCTGTAATTAAGTACTCCTGCCAAAAAAGCCACCTCTCCAGTGGTTACCTGCTTCACCTCATTTCACAGGGGCATCTGGAGCAGGATTTCAGAATAACATCTTGAGGTTCAGGGACTTTTAAAAATTTAATACTGCCTTTCCACAGAAATCTCCAAGACATCAGAATAAGACAATAATGCCATCACCAACATGCTAAATCATGCTATAACTTTATAATGAATATACATAGGAGAAGGTGCTCCTTTGGTAACTAGTTCCAAGCTGTACACACACAAGGATTTGGAAATGGCCTGGGAGAAGCTCTTTCCTGCAGCTGTGACATCATGCAATCAGTTCTCTGTAAAAAGCCAGCTATGCACTATTGCGGGACAAGTGCAGGCATTTCTGGTTCAAGGGGTTGGAAGTACAAAAATAGCACATCAAATCTGCTGAAAGAGGACACGCTCAATTGGCTCTAAAACGTGGTTCTTCCAGCCAGTAATATGCTGGTCATCTCCTATTTTTGACAATGAAGCAGAGCTCTTTTGAATGCTGTACATTAGGCCCAATCCCCCCTTTTCAAAAATCCGTGAATTAACTGGCGCAGAGGGTATTGCTCATTTCCACCTCCTTTCCGAACAAATGCTGCTGTGTGATGCTCATGTAGCTGAATATTCCTGGTGAACAATTCTCTTGCCCTTTTCTCTTTCCCCATCCATGTTAGCAGCCTTCCCCGGTCTACCCCTAGGGACAGCCCCTCCCCCCTCCCCTTTTGTATCTGCTTCCTTCCCATTTTATATCTGGTTCTGGCAGCCACTTCCATCTGGCAACTTTGAGTGCATGGCATATCAACTCGAACAGCAAATGACTTCTCTCCCTAGCATGATGATAGATACTGTTGTACAGGAAACTGCTGCAGCTAAGAAGTGCTATACTTCAAAACTTCCACTGCTTTTGTGGCAGCTTGGCAATTCTTTCATTAACAGACATCAGAGCACAAGGAAACATGGCTCTGGATCATCTCCAGTCCATATGCTGGCCTTAAGACAGCCATGATTTAAATTGTGAAGTGAATATAGTTGCAAAGGGAGCTGGGGTACAGTATGGAGGAACGTATGTCAGTTGTTCACGCAAAACGGTGCTGACTGACTTGCTTACTTAACCGTCCATGCAACATGGACACCTGTATCTTCAGAGTCCCCTCTAAGTGGCTTTAGATGACTCATTAATATTGATAAGCTTATCAGCAATTAATGTTTCTCCCAGTGAAAGCTTCTTTCAACACAGTGGTGGGAAAGCTGCTAAGATGTATTTCAGATGAGCAGCAGTCACTGTCACTGGAAGGACCATGTTAAAAGACAGAACTAGAACGGGGCATCTGTTTGAAATTTAGTACCTGGAAAAAAAGGTGAAATAAGTGTGTCTTTGCCCAAATTTCATATTTAGACATCATGTTAGCGTGAAATTGAAAATGGTTCATTTTAAATAAGTATTTACCTAAATATTCAGATTCTTCACACTTGCTGTTATCTTTTCATTGTATTGTGTTTTTTCTGGAAATTTTTAAAGATAAAGCTCTTAAGCTGCCACTGTTTTCTGTTACAGTCAGGGATTTATGACATAGCAACCTGTTGTTGACCAGCCACAAACATGATCCCTTTTTGTGTTAGCTGCTGCTTTTTAGAGGCCTTTACCCTCTTCCCTTTTTTCTTGGAAATTATGAGACACAAACTCCAACTTAACATCTGAAGATAGTGCTTCAAAGTGGCACATTGGAGGAAGTGTCATTGGTGTGTTTATCACGCCTTTATAATTTTTGCACTCAGATGTGTACAGTTTTTTGTTAAGTTGGTAGTTGGGCTTGCGCAATTACACATTCCAGAATTTTCACATGCCTAAAAAGGCCTGCCTTACCTGAGCAATCCAGTGGGATATATGCTTTTAATACTCCTCATGGTCATAGACCCAAAAGTTGCCAAGAGCTTCATTTCTGAGTTAGGTTTATCTTAGCAGCTATCAAAAGGCAAGTTGTCAAGACAAACCAAAGCCACAAGTGATTTTTGCTTGCAAAAAAAAAAAGGATAACCTATGGATCACCTTCTTTACAGTAAAATCCTGAAGGGTTTTCTTTTCTTTTCTTTTTTTTTTGGGTGGGAGACTCCGTTGAGAGTTGTTGTCCCTGCCCTTTCCCATGATTCTAGGTGCTCAGGAAAGTGGCAAAGTACAGCACCCTTTTATGGCTCCTTTTAAAAGATTTTTTCCCACCAGGGCATAAGTATTCATGCCTGTATGTTAATAGTTGTTGATGGCTTGTGTAAAAAAGAAGTAGCTTGTACTTTTCCACCTTCCCATGCAGCTGGAATCTTGAGAAAGGGTGGGCAAGTGAGAAGACCCAGAGGAAACTGGTCCCCCAAAAGCACTGCAAATGTTGTGATCTACATGTGTATCCAATTGGTATTTAGTATGTAGAAAGTATTAACCTCTATCGCTCCCGCATGTGCGTGTATTTGTTTGTATTTCATTGTGATCTTATGTCCATGTTTTTATAGTATTGTAAGCTGCTGTTAGGGCAATGCATCCTAAAAGTGGGTTAAAATATTTTTAATAATAATAAAGCTGTTTTGTTCTGTAGTTTGTGGAGCTCTAACTCATAACGACATCTTAAGATTATTACTTGTCTCAAGGCTGTACTATCTGCTTGAGAACCCAGTAATAGTTACCAAAGGCTATCATGCATACTAACAGCAAATGAAGTCACACAAGTGCCAGTCCTTATGTGCCCAAAATGGCACCTTCCATGTACAAGAAGTATCAGCAGGCTTGGGAATGGGGGCAGGAAAGACTGTAAAGTTTGCTGAAGTGGTTTTTCAGTCCTTTAGGGAAAACACAAGGATGGTCTGTATGGGCAGCCAAACAGTCCATTGAGGACTGAGCATGCTGACCGGTGACACAACACCAAATACCTGTTGAAGTGAGGTAGAAGAGGGTGTATATAACGGCATATCCTGGGAGAGGGCGTGGTATCCAGAACAAGAGCCATGCACGCGGCTGTATATTGTTGCAGGTCCCACTTGAAAAATGCTAAATACCACACTGGTGATGGTGATGCAACCATCAAAATATTGAAATCAGGTATCATTAAACATCGAGCTCTAACATCTGGCTAGTATTTGAAAAATGTCCAGTACACATTCAGCATCAAAACCGACAAAGGAGAATTTGTGGGAGCAAACAGGTTTCCACTCTGGCCCAGGTCCTCCTGCTTTTATTTGCTTTGAAACTGTTTTCTGCAAACAAAAAGAGAACCGCTCAGGCCTTGTGCTCAGATGGTTTCGAGTTGATGTGCTGGAGCGGTCCTCAACCTGCTCGCTAAGTTACGGAGGCTGCTCTGCACCCAGCACTGCAGTGTGTGGGACAGGACTGAGGATGACGTGGTGCCCTGTGCTGAACAGAAGAGCCATTCTTGAGGCTGAGGAGCACGCCCTTGGCCCAGAGCGATAGGAATGTTTGCTTTTCTCTGCTCCCGTTGTACTGTGCCAGAACACGCAGCACGTAGACAAGAAGACAGAGATCCCAGCTGGAGGGGGAGGGTGGGGTCAGGCCTCCTATGCCTGCTGAGCAGTTGGAAGGGGATGGCTGGATGTGGAAGGGAGGCAAGAGTGGCGTGAGGGGCAGCTTGCCAGGCCATTGCCGTGCCTATCCTGCTTGGCAGGGCCTGGGGAGGGAATAATAAAGGCAGTGACTGATATTCCTGCCAATAAGAATACCCAGTTATCAGTGATAAGAGGTCTGCAGGTTGCCTCATGTGGCATCTTTCTGGATGTGTTTACTTGAAAATGCCACTATCTTCCATGGGGCTTACTCCCCAGTGTGTGAGTGCACTCATGTTTGGAGTATTTAATATCCCAGTCTTCAACCGGGATTCTCAGAGTAGCATAGAAAAATGCATTAAAAATCCCCAATAACCTGGTCAAGCTATATTAGCAATCAGTTTTAGTAGTGCAGGCAGAGAAAAATCAGAACAAGTCAGGGCGAAAAATAATAGATTTAAATGGTCTGAGGAATAGCCAAAGATCTTTGGCTAACCTCCCCAGGCTAGAGAATTCCAAACTAGGGACTGTAACTGAAAAAGGCCTGTGTCTCATCATCACCCACTCTGCCTCCAAGGTCAGGGGACTTGGAAAAAAAATCTCTTGATAGATGGATGGCATGTGTGATGGAAGATGCTGGACCCAAACTATTTGGGACTTTTAAAGGTTAAGACAAGTATCTAGTGCTCTGAAATAAACTGGGAACCAATGCAGTAGTTTTCCAACCAGTGAGATTTGTTTCACATACCCAGTCCTAGTCACTAACCTAGCTACTGTATTCTAAATTAAGAGCCATTGCTGAGCAGACTTCAGAGGCATGTTGCACATACAATGCATAGCAGTACTCCAAACTGGCTGTTACCACAGCATGAAGAACTGGCTGGGCTACCATTTAGGATTGCCTTTTAAATCTGGTAGAATTAAGTAGCAGTGTAAGCGAATGTACCATCTCATCTGACTTCATTGCAGCCTAAATCATGGGTGCTCCATTTTGTTTCATTTCTGTATCTCTTAAAAGCCAAACCTTGCTGGGTGATTGACAAAAATTAAAAACCATAAAAATGCAATACAGTGCGTAATATAAAGACCAGGTGTCAGGTTCCAGCCGCTAGGCTCCCATCATCCCTATAGGCTGGGGGTGATGGGATTTGAGAGTAACATCTGGAGGGATGCTGGTTCCCCACCCCATGTTACATAGGAACTTCAGATGTGCTGCTCTGATTTGTGTAGTGTATGCTATGGAATGAATTGTCATTACCCTGAGACTTTGTTACAAGAATCCATTTTATTATAGACAGCACAATCTGGGAGCTGCTAGGGAGGCCAATAATGCTCTGGAACAGCAGCTGCTCTAATGGTCAACGAATATGCTTACTTCCTCCTTGATTGAAGTAGGTTGTTGTAGAAAGCATTCCAATGCTTCCCTGTTTTGCTGTTCTTTCACCAAGTTGACTAAGCCTTGAGGATACCTTTGAGTTGGCCAATCATAAGCCCTGCTGAGAAAAAATGGACCAGTGCTGAAGTATCTGTAGCTCCAAGCCAGATCAAGCAGGACTTGATTATCCTTAATGATTGCCTTTTAAATATTGTGCTACAGTACTCTATATAGTAAGATACGCCCCCCCCCCCCGCAAAAAAAAGGCTGGGAACCTGCCAATCCTTCTATTCAGTGACCAAAGCCAAAGTGTGGCTCTCTTTGTTTTAACCAATCCATGGACCATGCTCTGAGAGATCAAGCTCTTCATTCCCTTTCTTAACCCTATAGGTGAGTGAGACAAACTTGTCTTCAGGTTCTCTGCATTCCAACTCAAAGCTTGATCCACTTCCCATTCCCTTTTTTTTTTTTTTTTTTTTGTAAGTGGGCACTCAAATGCATGTTTTCCCTCATTGGGTAAAGTATGAAATGTGTATTTTTTAAAATCTGCATTAAGTTCACATTTTTCTCACACATTTTGCAAATGTGATCCCAACCTCAAACTTTGCCCCAAAGGTATGCTAACATTCCTGGGTGTAAATGGGGCAAGTTCTGATCAAAAGCAAAGTATTTGTACCCCTCTACCTATAGCTACCTTGACATTTGGGCAGTCATTCATTCTTTCTGCTTCAGTAGTCTCTATGTTAAGGGACTGCCGGTGGCGCAGTGGTTTAAACTGCTGTGCTGGTTGATCGAAAGGTCGCCGGTTCGAATCTGCACAACGGAGTGAGTTCCCGTTGCTCTGTCCCAGCTCCTGCCAACCTTGCAGTTCCAAAGCATGCAAATGCAAGTAGATAACAAGGTACCACTTCGGTGGGCAGGTAACAGCGTTCCGTGCACTTCGGTGTTTAGTCATGCCGGCCACATGACCACGGAAACTGTCTGCGGACAAACGCTGGCTCCCTCGACTAGGAAACGGAGATGAGCCCCCTAGAGTCAGGCATGACTGGACATAACGTCGAGGGGAAACCTTTACCTTTTTTAGTCTCTATGGTGGTGTGTTTTAGCTCTGATAATAACTCAGAGTCCAACTGACTTTCAACACTGCACCTTGTAACATTCTCCTAGCATAATTCTATGTTCTTCTCTGGTGCCTCTCTCACATTTGTGGGACCCAAGTTCCCCTGATTCCTTGCATCACTGTAAATAGACCTATGTGCTAGATAAGAAAATGCCTTACCCTGTCCCAAAATTGATAAACCCAGGGGTAGTCTCAGTCCACTTTGAAAAACAGGCAGCCAATCACTACTTGCATTTCTTTGGCATCTCCTTCCCCTGAAGTTAGTCGATTTTAACTGCTCTGCCTTCTCCTACTTCTATCCATTTTTATGCCCACCACTTCCTCCAGCACCTGAACTTCCTTGGTTGTATAGCCTTCCAACCCTCTACTCCATCTTCTACCTTTAGTGTCACTCTTCACTCCTAAAAACGAATTTCCTCAATCTTAGGGGTTTTCCCCCAGTCTCCCATGTTAGGCCTATTTATTCGTGTATATAGAGAAGATTTCCATATGTGTGAACAAGAATTTGCAATAGTGTGATGCTCTAAATCTTTCCAAAGAAAGCAGTCTTCTAACAAATGAGCTTTTAAATTCTTTATTTTTTTCTGAATACACCACACATAAATTGACAGTATAAAATAGAAGGAAAAGTGGACTATATAAATAAATCTTCATATGAACCAATTTTCCATTCATTTGAGAAAAGAACCTTCTTTTCTTCCTAAAAATGCAAAGGAGCTTCCTCTATATTTATTTGCTCGATTTGTCTTTTGTTCAAAGAATATAAATAGCACATTCTCAAAAGAGGAATGTAATTCTTTCATATAGCTTTCAAACTTTTCATTCCTGCGGGGTCTATTGGAGAAATATGCTCTCATAATTCCCTATACTGCCTTTGCTCTTATCACATTAAAATCTGGCTTTTCATCTTTTATTTTAAAAACGTTTTCAATGTTTGGACCCATTTTTATACTCTACTTTCTTGACTTTACGGATTTTCCCCACTATCAATTTAAAGGCTGTTTTTCCCCCAAAATAGAAATAATCACTTTTTCTTTTTACCATGTACTGTACATCACTATAGTCCCAATCCATTTGCCTTTGCTTGTGAAACAAAGGCTATTGTGAGTTGTCAGCTTGTAAACTTTTATTTGGTACAATACGATGGGCATAGCTAATTTTCTAAGTGTTCCTTATCTTACACTATTTCAGTGCATGTTGTTGCTGGAGGGAAGTTGTATTTGTCCTATCAAGAACAGTGTTTATCATAGACATTGCTGGACATCATATCAGTATCTTTGAAAAAATAAATGTCATGTTGTATGCAGGGGATAAGAAGTTGATGTAGAGTTGGACTGTAAGATAGCTGGAAGCAAAGACATGGAATTCAGAACTTAAAGTGCCAAATGCTCAATGGGAAGGGAAGTTTTAGCAGTATCCAGTGGTGGAAGCAAGAGGACAGAAAGTGCTTTTATATGCTGGCTTTCCCTTAATATTAGTTATTTCAGTTCATAGCCCAGGCCATGCTAAAAATGTGGGACAGGTAACAATCCACTGTGAGAGACAATTGACTCTATCACAATGGTGGCAGTAATTTGGCCATTGTTACATATGCTTCAGTTCCCTATTGAAGTTTTGCCTGCTTATGTTAATAGCAGCATACAAAGCTGTACATCAGACTGCTTGTGTAAACAACTGTAACATTAGAAATAGGAGAGGTGGTATCTCCCTTTATAAAAAGGGGTAGAGGCATCCTGGGTTGAGACAGCTGGTAATGGCACAAGAAAACAAGGCAACACATAGCTGTGGGGTAAGGCAAAATCTGAGCCGAGTAAACTTAACAGACCTCAGTTGTATACAGGATCAGGCGAACATTTGCAAAAAGCAATAGAAAGCAGTCTTCCCTTAGCACAACTGTGGAAAATATCCAATGATCAACAACCAGAAGTGTGAAGAAGAAATGAGTTTGTTATCCTGTTTGCTTTGTAATTTAAAAATTATTTTTGTTATTAATAAATTATCATTATACCTGCATCATTATCAAATTGTTTCAAGTGCATGTGTTTTCATTACTCATAGTTGGATATTTTTAGGGTAGTTTTTCCTTGTTCTCATTTTTGTGGTCACCATTTTATTTTCCAGACTGCTTTGGATTGAAATTAAAGGACACCACTTTTTTCCCTCTAGAATGCCTTGAAATGATACAAACTCCTCAACGTTCTGTGAAAATAAAATAGTGACTGCCAAAAGGCAGACATCAAAAACAGATTTGGTCCCTGGAGAGAGGTAAGTCCTCAACCCCAAGATGAGGATGAATGGGTACAAATGGAAGAATAAAAGCAATCCCTTTCATTACTCATCTGGTCGTGAATTTATTATCTAGATTATCCAGTTTGCACCTTCCTTAACCAAATACAAACTAAATGCAGTTTGCTTTTAAAAATTTGTACATTCGCAAGTTTGAAAAGCATTTCACAAAATAAAGTAGAAAATCTGCACACATTTGAAAAGTGTGCATAAAATGCATATATTTAAAAGTTGTACAAAAACATGATTTTGTCAATGGCATGCAGATGTATCATTTGAAACTGCTCATATAAATAAGCCCACACTTTGAGAAATGTGCACGAAAATATGTACGAATTTCAGTGCAAAGAAAAAATGTTCCAAATTCAGAGTCAAATCAAATTTGGTGATGGAAGAATGAGACCCATAACATGAGATCATAACAAGCTTGATGTACCCCTCCCTAATTATGCATGGAATTTGTTGCATAACAAATGAAAATTGAACCGAATGATTTCCATTCGGTTAAGACTTTCATTCATTATGAAACAAATGCACACCCCTATCAGGAGCTGGATGACTGTACAAAGATAATGTAGAGAGCAAAGAAGAAGACTTCCTGGAGCAAATCACCACCCCCTTTACTCAGTTTTACTAATTGCAAACGTATTTCCTAGTCCCACAAATTTCGCAGTAAATGCAAAACTGACTTAAATAAGTTTGCAAATGGTTTCCATTATAGCAGATTTCACTCTCTCAGGGAAACATCACATATTTCTTCATGAAGATCTATTTCTTTGATACCCTGAAACAAATAATATCTGTACTTTAAAAAAAACCTAAAATGCATTTGTGTTCCTTATTGGCAAGCAGAAAGGCAATTTGTCATGTTGTATGCAGGGGATAAGAAGTTGATGTAGAGTTGGACTGTAAGATAGCTGGAAGCAAAGACATGGAATTCAGAACTTAAAGTGCCAAATGCTCAATGGGAAGGGAAGTCTTAGCAGTATCCAGTGGTGGAAGCAAGAGGACAGAAAGGGCTTTTATATGCTGGCTTTCCCTTATTATTAGTTATTTCAGTTCATAGCCCAGGCTTAGTAGCAGTACCTTGCAACATAAGTCAAAGTGTTAAAATAAAATAAATCCTGGTGTAAATGTGCTTTGGGCCTATTAGGGTCTTTATTGGCCAAGATATTTGCTTCTACCTCTAGAGGGCCCTGCCTAGTTCCAGAGGTGTACGAACCATAATGGCAACCATGACTCATCCATTGAAGGGGGATCACTTGGATGAAGGTACTTTAATCAGGGGCTTTTTTTCCTAGGCCTAGTTACTTTTCATCCACAGCTGAAGAAATCTTTTCTGGCTAGGATTCAAAAGCAAAAACCAAGGGTAGGGGTGGTGAGGAGAAAAAACGCTCAGGCTGTTGCTGCTTAAGGATAATGTTTTCCTTACAAAAAGAGAATTATAAGTTTGCCTGGTGGAAAGGAATACGCAGGAATATTATTGAGGTAAAAAGGAAACAGCAGGCTTTCTTCTAATCAGCTGCCATGGGACCAAGATGGAATAGAGCCTTATGTGTCACTGAAAATAATTTTTTTCTGAAGCTGGAAAAGCCCAATAGTATTTCTAAGCATGCCATAGGATTCTGCGGTAGAATACAAAGGCCTCGCCATCATGGCGTCTCTTCATCGCCTTCATCTCCAGGAAGTTCACATTTGTGAAGAGAAAGAGAGTGGGACTGTTAACGCTGAATTCCTACTTCTGAGTTCCTCACTCTTCCTATTCGCCCCCCTTCGCTTAATTCTAAATTGCTGTAGCAGCCTTTAGAGGGCCACTTATGTTGATCCAGATGTAAGGAAAAGCCTCCCCCTCATCCTCTTGGTCTCCCTTGATTAAAACATTATAATTCTTTAATCTCTCTGAATTGAGTTTCTTCCTTAAAAGCTGCCTGTTCTCTTTGATACACCAAAGCAGTTCTTGTCACGCTGCCAAAGGAGGCCGGGTGGAGTGTCACAGAGCTCAAACTTTTACAAGCTGAGTGAGCAGGAAAACAAGCAAAGGCACACAGGCAAGCAGAGAGAGAGAGAGAGAGGAGAGAGATCTTCCTTCTATTTTTAATTTTTGGATTCTTTTTGCAAAATGATCTTCGCGTTCTTGTTTTTAGGAAGCGCGGCCATAAACGTAATTAACTTTTCCAGCTAACTTGATGGCCAACCTCTGCAAAACTTGGAAGGGAGAGAGAAAGAATGACGTCACCACAATCTGGGGGTGCCTTTCTCACTGCCTGTCAGAGCCGAAAGAAAAGAACAGGGCAATAAAACAACGGCTGTCTCTGTCTCCTTCGTTAAACACGGCACTAATTGGATGTTAATTTCTCTTTGCTCTTCTCGCTGTTCGATTGTAAGAACTCTCTCTGTGTCTTTCTCTTTCTCTTCCTCCCTCCCACCCCCGCAAGGCTCTTGCTGGTCGCAGGGAGCCTATACTGTACATTCCCTCCCAATTGTGGGCTCAAACAATTCAGAAGCTGGGCCGTATTAAAAGAGGAGGAGGGGGAGGGAGGGATTGAATTTGGGAGTTTCACGAAGCTCAACATTTTCCTTTCAATGCCCTGTACTTAGTTCAGAGTATTTTTTCCCCTCTTTCTCTCTGTCTTGCGTTCTGGCCAGTCTCCTTGGCAGCATGAAAAAAAAATTAACCCAACCACTACCCAACCCATGTGTTGAAGCAGGCATTTGGGGAGCCAGTGCAAGCAGGAAGATGTTGCCGTCTTTGCTGCCCAGGTCACCCTGAAAGGGTGTTTGTGTTTCTTGGCTTGAATTCTAGAGGGTGCTCAGTGTATCCGATAGATTCATAATGTACCCACACACACATATGCACACAGTGGTGCAGTGGAAAGAGGTAAGTTAAGAGCAGGCTTGAGGGAGAGCAGGGGGAGATTTACCAAGGGAGATGGTGGGTGGGTGGAGGAGAAGAAGAAGGGGAGGGGAAGGAGCGGGAGGAGGTGGAGGGTAGAAATGTGGGAGTAAAGTCCTACCTGGGATCGGTGCCAACTTCCTGCACAGGGCTGCAGACCCACAGCTTTGAGCAACCCACCAGAGGCGACTTTTCTCTCTTGTCACGATTCCAAGAGGCAAGGAAGGCAACAGGAACAGGTAGTACAACAGATGCAGAGCAGCCTTCTTTGCCAGGGTGCTGGTGGGTAAATCCTCTTTTTTTCTCCCCCCCCCCCCTCCAATCCTTATTGCAGCCAGCTGTATTTTTAAAAGGATCCTTTCAAGCAGGGTTGATGGAGGTTTTTAATTTAAAAAAAAATAAATTTATTTTATTTGGTAGGGGGTGGAGGGAGGTTGGATTCTCTTGTCAGTATCTTCTCTCCGTTAGGATTAACATGCAGAAGATGCGCCTGTCACTTTGCTTACTGTCAGTGCCTGCTCAGGGATGGGAGACGGCTTTGTTCCGCGCTGCCTGGGAAGCTGTGCCAACTCTGACTTGGCAGCCAAGCCAGAGTGGGCAGGGAGAACGCGAAGAGAGCGACGAGGGAGAGAATGATTGCTGAGGCTTCCAAAGTGGGAAGTGGCTGTAGGCCCATTTCCGAGCGAGGCAGCTATTCACTCTGCCCCTTTCTCTTTCTTCCTCTGTCTCTAAGACTGGCACATACAAAATGGAAAATTGGTGGGGGGGGGGTTGCTTCTCTTCTCTGACATATCCCGGTGGTTGGTTGGCTGGTTTTTAAACCATCCTCACTTGCCTCCATTACTGTTGTTAGTTCCATTTTTCAGTCGGCAAGTGAGGCATTTCACAAAAGCAAAATGCTTCTTACATAACTGTGATGGGGTGGGGAGGTGGATTTTTTTTTTTTCATTTTTGGTTTGGTGGTGGTTGTTCTTTCGCCCTGTATCTTTTTGGCTGTATTAAAGAAGTCCGCTGCCTCCAACATCTCAAGTTCAGGAAAATAGGAACCAAGATTTATTTTACATGCGTACAAGGAGCTGATAGTGTGGGGAGATGGGGAAAATTAGTCATTTGTTTTAACCTGTGTTGATCAAAATCAAGCAGAGTTCTTGTTTTCGTTTTCACAAAAGACTGAGAAACTTTTTGTGCACGAGCTCCCGAAAAGTCAATGGAATGTGGCTTTTTAAAAAGTATTTTTAAAAGACCGTGTTAATAATGGGGGACCATCCCAGGGGAACGCCAACCAATGGTTCCAAGTGCTGGAATTCTTGCCAGCTTCCCTTTGTGCCAGCCTCTTGTCGGCCTTGGCGTCTCATTCGGATGAAGCCTGGCATGCAGGCACCGCCCATTTCTTGGCATTGAGCTGCTATGAGAAGGAAAAGGGAACGCAAGAGAGGGGGGGAAGCTGTCTCACACAAACTGGCCTTTCTCGAAAAAAAGAAACCATTCCTGATGATTGTCCAGATAATCGGAACTAAAGCCAGCGGCTACTGAGCAACAAAACCCTTCTCCTTCTCGGCACATCTCTTTCTGGTACGAAATCAAATGTAGCTCTTTTAAAAATGTTTGGAAATGCCATTTTATTTGTCCAAATGTTCTGGCACTTGCTACTTGCGATGTCCTGCCCCAACCTTCCCGCTTTCGTGGTGCTAAAATAGCCGATTTCTTTTTTAAAAAAACCAACAAGAACAACAAACTAGATAGTAGATTTTATTATCTGGTTTACCTGCCCACTCATAGATGAGGTTTTTCTTCTGGTTCTGAAATTACTTTGATTATGGGTTTTTGGGAGATTGGGGTGTTTGTGGGGGGGTTATTTTTTATTTTTATTTTTTTTATTTTTTTGCCATTACGCAGGAGAAAGGAAAGTGTTGAATCATATCAGACTTACAATTCAACATGGCAGCCCTAAGTAAGTATGTATAGATAGTCTGGCTTTGCAATGTAAAAAGACGTGGCAAGGAACATCCCTTTTCAAAAACATGAAATTTGGAAGAACTGGAGTGACAGAGGAATAAAGGAATCTTTATTCCCTTGGGGAAATAATTCGGGAGGATTTTCTATGCTGCTTTCAAAAAGGAGATTTCGGCCATGTTATCCTCATCTTGGAATTTTGCAAAGGTTAACTATTTACAAACTGTTCTATGTCTATCAGCTAGATGCAAAAGTATGTTTTGTCCTTTTTTATTTTTGCTTCGTTGACACATGCTTGGGGCTTAGGAATTGCAGGAAAGATAATTTCGTTAGCATTAGGTAGAGTTTTGGTATTTTGCAGGTTTTGGAAGATGGCATCATCGCTTGGTCTTTATACGGAGAAGTCCAGATGCATCATGGAGTGAAGTGGATGCTTTTTCGAAGTGTTCACCTTGCTTCATTTTGAATGCTTGTCCTTTCTTAATATTAGCTCCTCCCTCCAATAGCCACTGCTGTAAACTTTGATGGGCCATGCCACAGCAAAACTGAGTCCCTCACGACTTACACTGATGGAATGGGGCTTAGGGGTTTTGCCATGTGTCTGAAAATCTGGCCTCTTTATGTCAAACTTAATTTAGGCCTCTGTTGTCTAAAACAAAAGAATATTGTTTCCCTGAGAGTAACAGATTCCTCCTACATGCAACAGCTTACTTGTAAATGTTTTGTTATTAACAAAGCCCTGCAAATGGGTGGCGATCCCATTCTTACCCCTTGCAACAGTAAACAGAAACATTAGCATAGCTTGCTAAATGCATGTCTGGAAAGCAAAGCAACAGATCATGTGCAATCCAACAGCACAGTAGCTTCAGCTAGTGCTTTAATCAGCCACTGAACCTGACTTCTCAAGCTCTATGAGAGCTGGGCCTTTTGCTCATTTTTCTTGATTGCCCACTTTCCACTACCACAGAGAGCGCTGGCACTGAAGATAGAAGAGGACTTACTACCTAAGCTGAAAATAAACCCCTTCTTCTCAAAATGTAGAACCATCCCCTCCTGTCTGTAATCTTGACAATAACTCATCGGCATCAAAACCCCTTGAACCTCAGGTATACTGGTTTTGACTCGGTGGATTGTGTTTAAGAGCTAGCAGAATGAGGTGGTGAGGTTATAGATACCTAGATTTCTCTGTACTTGGTTTTGAATGCAGCTTGGTTTGGTTTTGTGTTGATTTAGTTTTACCCTTACGGATTAAAACAAAATGCTGATGAGGGTATTGACAGAAATACAACATTCTCTTTTGTGAACCCAGCTTGCTGCACTAGGTTCACGGATTGGGCATTTGCTATAAATCCACCATTTTGTACCTTGATTGTCTAGTTCTTCACACAGCTTGAGTGGAAGCAGGAACTAGCTTGTGGTGTGTGTTTTAATGCCCTCAACCATAAGTTATGCCAGAGAACACAATTCATCACTCTTGCCATACTTGAGTGTGCACACAACTCCAGTTATCTTAATATAAATGTGATTATTTTTTAAAATTTGTTTAAATGTGTACCCTATCCTATCCAATAGTCTCTGTGTGGCTTGCAATGTTTTAAAATAATTTCTCTGTCGGAATGTGAATCTGCTTTGCAATGCACACACCTATCCTCTGCCACCCTACTCAAACTCTCCCTAAGACCTAAAACCTATTGTGTTAAATAATTTTAAAATCATGCTGAAATCATGCTTAATGAAATCTTTTTGAGCACATAAAAATATTGCATGATGATCTTTATAGACTTTTACAGAGCTTTACAAACAAGTCACAAAGGTGCTGACATCCAGCTGGAAACAAGGTGCATGACTAGAATTCTCATCATCCATTCGTAATAAAAAATCCATACAAACACCCTTATTCCAATGATGCATGCTTTTTTCAGTTACTCCCCACCAAGTATTTTCAGTAATCATCCCTTTCCAGTGATCAGCAATGATCCCAAATCATCAATTGTGCTTTTGAGCATTCATCCTGATTGCTTGCAAACCCGCCAGGGATGGGTTTATTTAACATTTAGTAATGCTCAAAAAGCCTAAGAAATTGAATTGGTTAGGGAAAGTATGGCAAAATGTCGATAACATGGTATCCACAGAGGTGAAATATAAGTCCCATTGTAAGCCAGGCCCAGTATACAGAAAAGTCAGAGTGAAGTCAGACATTTTGATGAGGGGAGTTCTTATTTTGCCTTCCGCCGAAGTCTTGCGCCATGCCTACTATTCAGCTATACAGACATGACTCATTTTCTAACTTGACTGTGCCATTTTTCCCTGGACGTTACTCCAGAGGGTGCAAAAACCTGGGTGTCTCCAGCAACTTAAATTTTGCCCTGGCCACTGGCACTTGGCTTGTTGACGAGAGCAGGAAGCTGGTTTCTGCTCTTGCCATGTGTGCCGCTATCCTTTACTAGTTTTTTTTAATTATTCTTTATTTTTCTGCACAATCTTTTTTGTCCTTTCTTGTGCACGTCGTTCTTAGAACCAAACTTACCCTTTCCCCTTCTGTCCTCTTACAGACTCATGTCCACTGAATTTTTTCTTTCCTAATCTTTGTCCCCAGCCTGTGTCAGTTTTAACCTTTTCTACTTCCCTTTTCTGCTTTCTTCCATTTTCTCCAATAGCCTTCCTTAGTATGACTTCCCAAGGCACTTTCAGTGCTGCATCTTTGCTGTGGAGGAGCCTTAGCAGTAATGCAAATGACTATGAGCATACACAGAATTGTAAAGAAAGGATACATGACTTGCACGGTAGGGAGCTGCTTCTAATTTAGTCACTGCCTCCGAAGTGGAGGATTGAAGAATAGCATATCAGCCAAAGCACAAATGCATGCAAGCCTATATCTTTCCATATAGCTTCCTACAAAGCTACCTGGCTTACACAAATGTTTGCATTTCTGTTCCAAACATAAGTGCTCTGTTCATGATCCAGAATCTTCATTGGTAATAAGCAAGTGAACCTACTGGAAGATAATACAGTTCTGCCGTACACTGTTTTCAGCTAAGGCTCTGGTACTTAATAACGATGGGTTTTTTGGACACTCTCTTCCTCATGAAGTTAATAGTTACAGATTCTGGCAAGAGAATGTAACTCCTAAATTGTACAAATGTTTTGTATGACCTTCTAAGAAGTTCCTACCTAGTATATACATCACCCTTACTTACTCTAGTTTCCTTTAGATGTATTGTATTGCAGCTTTCATTGTTCTCAGCCATCCAGCTAGTCCTGAGAGGTGTTGTCCAATACATCTGGATTGCAGCAGGTTGGGGAAAGCTGGCAAAATCAAAGCTTGTTGATCATATTCTCACTGG